TTTTTAGGTTATCATTTGTGGAATGCCGACTTGAGATCTGATGATAATCCAATAGAAGCAAACTTAGGCTTCGCCTGTAGGAAAGATGGCGAATACATTGGCAATGAACATGTAACGAAGGCTAGAATAAACGGAGTCACAAAGAAATATGCCTACTTCACACTTGATGATAAAGTATGAATTTTTGAGCCAAATAATGGGTTTTTAATCTTGTAAAAACCAATTAAAATGTTTTCTATATTTGTAGGTAGCGTTATTTGGTCAAGAAGGGATATACAGAAACGGTGAACCTGTGGGATACTTGAGGAGAGGCGACTATGCTTATTATCTCGACAAGCCTATTGGAATTGGTTACGTGAGCAATCGCGGTTCCGAAGTTACAAAAACCTTTTTGAAAGAAGGCAACTATGAAATAGAAGTCATGGGAAAGAAATATAAGGCTACACTTCATTTGAGATCACCGTTTGATCCTACTGGCCAAAGATTACTTGGAAATTACGGTGAACAAGGCATGGATGAAAATACACATGAACCGCATGCCGGACAAAACGAGAGAGCGGGCGGTAGTGAATAGTATAGTACTATTTATTTAGATCTCAATAAAATCATTTTAAATGCTTTTCTGTTTTTTTTATATATAAAATCAAAATTGTTTATTGAAAATGTGTGTCCATTATTGGACTTTAGTTCATAAACGTGTAGTCAAGCACTATGATTCAATAATTGAGATAATAAACCAATTATGTTTACAATATAAAATTCTTAGCTTTGTTAATATTTCAATTCTATTATAGCAATTTAATTAAATGTTACAATATAAAATACGGACAATATAATTACAATATACAATATAAAAAATTGGGACGTACAAGTAATGGTCATGTCAATTTACTTTTTAAAAGCAGAAACTGTCAGTGCCCAATTAATGTCATCTGTCAACTCAACTAGTCATAATTTTGATTCTGAAGTATTTTTTAAAGTTTACATTGTAAGCGTAAACAGAGTATTATATTAATTTGTGTCGATTATAAATTTCCTACATAGCACTATTTTCTTAAAGATAAACAATAAATTATATTAAAAAATAAAATGTCAGTAACAATACACACCGACGTAGGAGATATAAAAATTGAGTTATTTTGTGAGCAATGCCCTAAAGCATGTGAAAATTTTCTAGCACTTTGTGCTAGTGATTATTATAACGGTTGCTTATTTCATAGAAACATCAAGGTGAGTTTTAATTTCATAAGCATAAATTAACCACAAATGTAAGAAAATCATTTCAACATAGCGAGAAATTATCAACATCTCCCTGGCTTTATCTCACTCTCAGAGGGTCAGTGCAAAAAGTTTTATAAACCTTAATGTATTGGCTTAATTCGAACGGCCGGCCGTCTGCGTGTTGCAAACACTGCTTAGGAATAAAAGAATATACTATAAATGTTCGAAATTTTAACTATGAATAGAATTTTATCATATAATGTCTTGTTTCTTTTAGGGTTTCATAGTTCAAACAGGAGACCCAACTGGTACAGGAAAAGGGGGAAATTCTATATGGGGTAAAAAATTTGATGATGAGTTCCGAGAAGAGTTAAAGGCAAGAATTAAATTTGAATATTACATTCTTTAATATCTTACTTTTTTAACACTTAATTTAATATCATTATCATATTTCGTTTACTGTTACAGCACAATTCAAGGGGAATAGTCAGCATGGCCAACAATGGTCCGAATACAAATGGAAGTCAATTTTTCTTTACATACGGAGAACAACCACATCTAGATCTGAAATATACCACTTTTGGAAGGTTTGTTCTAAAATGCATTGATACTATTGATCGTATTTAGTTAAATTTTGTATGTATCTTTACAATAATGTAAGGGCCAAAGCAAACAAAAACAATATCAATCTTAAGCTCTGTTATGTGCGTTTTTACTACTAAAACAAGATATCAAAATTTATCCCTTTCATTCTCCTTCCAAAACTGATTAGAAAAATTTTTAGTAGTGGAAACTTATAAATAGAATTCTTTATACTTGTTAATTTTGGTTACCTCCATATAGAGATGTAGGAAAAATATTCTAGGAGCTAACAATTGTTATTTTTTTACAGAATAATTGATGGATTTGAGGCTCTTGACGATTTGGAGAAGTTAGCTGTTAATCCGAAAACTTTCAAACCTTTAACAGAAGTCAGGATTACGTCTGTCACAATACACGCAAACCCATTAGCTGGATAATAAAAATATGATAACAAAACTCAGCCTTTTTATATCCATAATCTATGTCAATGAAAACATGTGTTGATTATTAAAACATTTATTTGGTTACGTCACCTACATTATATGAAGAAATAACAACTTTTCAACAAGATATATTAATGTGTTTTTGTATTTAAATATTTAATACTATGAATTATATAAGGTCTTATTTACTATATCTGGAAATTATTGCATTTTATATAACTCTGGTGCTGAAAACATTAAAATCTATTTACTGAAAATTTGCTCATAAAATCCTAACTGTAGTGGAAGTAACTTACAGATGTATTTATATTAAATTTAGAAATATATAAGCATTTAAACATATTACACTAAATTACATACAAATGGACATAATTTTATCAACACAATTAAATTAATTTTTTATATTCACATCAAAAATTGTCTTAGATATCATTGAAACATCTTTTGAATGTCAAAGTCCAAATCTCAAGTTTCTAATTCATAAAAGTTTTCATCAATCTGGAAATCTGATTCTGTCTCTTTTTTTATTTCATTCACACATAGTTTGTCATCAAAATTATCTGTAAAATGAGATTTAATGTGTGCAACTAAATCCGCTTTCTTTTTGAAAGTCAAACCGCATTCTATGCAAGGCATGTTAACAACTAAACATTCCTGTGTTTGTTCATGATTATCCAATTTCTCCTTACTATTAAATTTCTTATCACAACTATTACATGAGAACGGTTTCATGCCCATGTGTGTTTGTGTGTGACGGTCTAATTCTCTTTTCCTGGAAAACTTCTTAAAACACACTTTGCATTGAAACACTCTAGATCCGATATGAGCAACGGAAACATGTGTTTTATAGGCATCAAGAGATGAAAATCTTTTTGTACATTGATGGCATTTTATGTTCTTTGGTTTGTTTTTATTTGTCATCATTTTCTGTTTACCAGGTGAACTTTGGATTGACTTACTAGGGGTGGGAGGATTCTTTCTTACATGATTTATAAAACTACTTTCACCTACAATGTGGTCAGGTACACTAGGAAATTCATATTCCCCCATAGAATTTTCAGGATTAAGCTGAGTAGGGGATGTCATTATGTTGCTAAAAGGATTAATACTGACGACCATGTCATGACTTTCTTGATCAATCTCAGATTCATTTCTTTTAATTTGTGAATTGAGAGGACCATGTTTTAATTCATGTTTTATTAGTTTATCCCTTCGACCAAAGGATAATGGACATTTACTGCAAGCATAAGGTTTCATACCAGAGTGAATGAGAACATGCCGTTGTAGATCTCCCTTAGCTACAAAACTTCTGGGACACATGGGACAGACATGAGGTTTATGCCCTGCATGTATTCGCAAATGCTTACTTAAATTAGTGTTCCGTGAAAAACTCTTAAGACAATAATGACATTGGAATGGTCTTATGCCTGTATGAACAACTGAATGTTTTCTTAAATCAGATCTTCTACCAAAACATTTTTCACATTCCGGACAATGGTATGGCTTGTCACTTTGGTGCACATGTTTAGTATGCTGTACATATTGATTACGCTCTGCAAAGACCAAGCTGCATTCAACACATTTGTATGGCATGTTAGGGTCATGGTAACTCTGTTCATGCTCCTTACACTTTTCTTGAGAAACAAATGCTTGATCACAGTACTGGCACATAGATACATTTTTAAAAAACGATTCTGTCATAGGCTCTCCCTCTTGAATATTTTCACATTCATTTTTTTCACTCTCAGGCTGTTCAACATTTTCAGATTCCTCCTCAGAGGAGTCATAATCTAAACTGGGGTCTACAACCATCACAACACTGTCTTCAACAATGTAGTCCTCAGGCTTTGGTTTTACCATTTCATGATTATTTTTATAATTGTAATTACTATAATCAGATGAATTGGAAGTATCTAGCTCATTCACTCTGTTAGTTATTTGCTTTAATCTAGCTTCATTTTGAATGCACTGTAATCTAAACTTTGAACATTTATTTACTTTGAATAGGCATTTATAACATATTATTCCTGGAAGACCATCATTGGGATCCAACTGCAACAAACAAAAGCAATTAAGATTGACTGCTGCAGTAATAAAAGTTTTATTTAATATTTATTTGATACAATGCAAGAAGATTTGTAATGAATGATGTTTACCAACCTGCATTTCAAAACACTCAGCTATTTTGGAGGTTAATGGCATATTCAAGTCTTCATCAGGAGCAGTGGCGAATATTGATGTTGTTAGCGAACTTTTAGTCAAGCAAAGACGACACAGCGCGTGAAAGTTGGCTATAATGTAGGAATCTTCCATTTTGAGTACAGTCTGACATTGAATCGTCGTAATACTTTTTATTGAATTAGTATTAGAGGACCATTGACATTTTATTTACCAATGAGAATTGAACATTTTGAATTTGGAATTCACTGCAATAATAAAACTAAACAGAACAGTATTCCACAGCACAGAGGCTATGGCACAGTGCGATGACTACGCAATCGTTCGATCCGTATCAACTGGGGCGATGCTCGGCGCTCGGCAGGGCTGCGGTCTGCGATTCGCGCTAGAAGAGGAACGTCGCGCCGCCCCTGCTTGTACCAGTCGTCATCTCATGTCTATAGTTAATTCTAAATGTGGTTTAAAAATCGTGGCCTGAATTAATCCATTCACCGAAAAAATAATAAACATAGGTCAACCAATTCAGATCTAGGCTGAGGAAAAAATTTGAATTTGAATTTTTGTAAAACTGAGACCGCGCTAATTTCGCAGAAAAGATGTTTTGCTTGTTCTCATGTTCTCCAACATTTATTGGCTTAAATCAACATTCAATGCTGTTTCAAAGTTATTCATTGGTTGATATTTGTACTATTCAGATAGACAGTGATATTAGCCAATCAGAATTCGAAGTTCATTCTTGTAAATGTAAATGAAAACTCGGTGAAAGGGTTACTAGCTACAAAATATTTTATTATGACAATATATTAAAAATTGTCGTCATTAAATTTTAAAAAATGTAGGTGAGTTATTTGCAAATTTTAGTTTCTTTAATTAAAATAAGACCACTTTTCACAGAAAACCCAAACTAAGAAAAGAAAAATTAAGAAAGTGTTCTTTTGCGCAGGAATTTTAAAAGTTAGTTTATAGATTTGAGAAAGTAAACTTTAATTAATTTGTAATAGGTATGCGATATTATTAAGACACACAGACAGAAAAACACTAAAATGGAAAATTATTCATTTAACTTAATCTATTTTTTCTTTGTTTGCAGTATTGATTTTCACTATTACATTAAGTAATTGTTAAGTCCGAATGTAGTTTATTTTACACAAAATCTCTTTGAACTTAATACGAGTACCACACATCTCTACAGTTACTGTTGCTTCTAAAGTTCATGCATTTACTAGATTCTTCGTGGAAGTAATATCCTTGCTCACAAGTAAGAAGACGGGCCTTTCGTTTATGACAAGCGATGAATTGACTGCAGCTGTCTCGGTATCTGGAACAAGAGAAATTAATGAGTGAATTATGAGAAAAGACGTATTACGTAATATATTTAACTACGATTTATTAAATACATTATGTTGCTTAGACTAAATTATATCGCGTTTCAAACAAAATCTGAATTATTCGTCGTAGTCAAAGTCAAACAAAACATTATAAGCTTACGTTATAATTTTCGCAAAATAAGGGACGTCATTTTAATTACTTTAGGCGTTAAATAAAATAACATTTGCTGACCTGAATTGCAATATCAAATTGCCATCAATCCCATAACCTTCATCAGGGCAGGCGACATCTTTGAATGCTGCAATGAAACATTAATAATACGTTATAAAAATCTATGTCCACGCTAAAAAATTAAGCGTTAAGGATTTTATAAGATAGATGGCGTAAGCAATAATACAGCTTCAATATCAATTTTTAAAAATCATCTAGTTTGTATTTTGTATCTATTTACCTATGTGTAGTGTATGCATAAACGTAGTGTTGTTTGTCTCGAGCGTACACGCCATAAGTACATGCCGGAAAAAGAGGACGTCAGTCGATGTCAGACTTTTGGGACGGCAATATGTGTCGGTACGTGAACGAGCCAAATATAACGCAACGAATGCTACACTATGTATGTAAAAATATTAGTTACCTGGAGGTTTACAATCCGAGACGTTTTCGAGCCAATCACAAATTTTTAACTTTTTATTAAATACAAGTCCATATGGGCAGTCCATTAAATATTCTATTCCATGAATACACACATAGTATTGGTCACAGGTAACATCATTGGCACGGTAGACACCATCTTTTAAGCATTTCGTGGAGCCATCAGGATCTCCTATTATTGGAGTCGTTCTCTCAAACGGTGCAGTACTTCCTTCCTCATTTGGATTTGATGTTACCTCATTTGGATCTTCTGTTATTTCATTTGGATTCGGCGTTAACTTTGTGGCCGGAGTTGTTATTTTATTTGATGGTGTTGTTGCTGTGTTCTTGGTTGTTAATTCACAGGGTTTTATTGTGGTAGTCTTGATTGTGGTTGTAAGTTTTTCTGTTGTTGTATTATTATCGCATGGCCGTGTTGTTGGTTTTTCTGTGTCATTAGGCGGTTGTGAAATACTGGAGTTACGATCGCAAGGTTTTTTATTTTTCGGTGGGACTATAATAATTGTTTTGAGTATATTTGTGTCAGGGTCGTATTGGTGTATGTCTACTGTTTGGACATTTAATTTTGGTTTTAAAATGGGAATTAGGTAAAAGTTGTTATTCTGTTCTTGCATTGTAAGATGTATTGGGTTGCCAGTTTCCACTGTTAAGAGTGGTGAGTGGTTATTGTAATTTTCGGGTTTATTTGTATACGAATGTTTCTTATCCAAGTTCACTTCTGAGTTAACTGAAAATGAAAACAAATACGTGAATAAATTTAGTAGTTCAGAGAAAAATGTAGAATTACTAATTATAATAATAATTATTAAATTAACTGAGATAATTTAAGGTCTGTTTTGTATGTATGTTTTTTATTGAAACTGCGGACATAATAGTAATCAATCAATGTAAAGTTTTACTATTTCATTTATGTTAGTGATTCGTTTGAAATGAATGGATTAGTTATTTTTTAATGCAACTTTTATACATACCTCGTGTACATAAAGCAAAAAACAAAATAAAAAGTGTCTCTTTCAACATGATTTAAAAGAAAATAAATAGTATCACTATGTTTCAGCAGTATTTCAGAGCGCTAAGTGTGTGTTAAGTTAAATAACTTGTATTTATAAGGTGTTTCGATAAGATAAATTTTATATTGATTGCTTTGATATTTGAGATCGTTATTTAAATATGTTAACATCGATTAAGATGTTTTTTTAATTGTTATACATATTAGTAAGTGATCTAACGTTTCATTTGTTAAAGGTCACTTTTTAATCAAAATGTAGAGACAGCCTGGTACATCAATTAAAATGTACTATTAGATCTTTGAATTAAAAAACATCTTGTTATAAATAATTTATTGTAGGAAATATGTTACGAGATACAAAATAATTTAATAAATTAACAATACTACAGAGAAATGTTACATTTTTTTCTTATCTACCTTCAATTATATTTATATAACTATAAAATCGCATTATCAAAACGTTCAAATGAATCCTGTGATCTTAGTTCCTTCAGACATATAAATATTCACTAACTCTTTTCAATACCATTTTAACCATATTGCATTTGTAAAAATTAGTCACCCGCTCATACATAATGCGATTTGCCCACTGTCTCCCATGGTCCTGCAACTGGGCGCATGCACACTGTAACTCCAGGTTGAAATGGCCTTGCAAGTTTTTATGTAGTCGTTTTGACAATGCGAACTATAAAACTACAGCTAAAATAAATTACTGCCACAGAGATATGTATAATAAATCACATGTAACTTAGTGCTACGCGTGTTTAGTATAAAACATCTGAACAGTTGGTGACGTATTCGGCGTCAACGCAAGAGTTTGTGTAATCGTCGAAGAAATGTCCCGCTTCACAGCTGAGGAGACGCGGCTTGCCCAAGTGGCAGGCGACATATTGACGACAGCTTTCACGGTATCTGAAATAAAATATCACAAATAGTAAAGTTTTTAAATCAAGTGTGTCACAATTCTTACTATAAATTAAATACATTTTAATATACAATAACACCTCACGCCCGTAACCCAACGGGGTAGGCAGAGAGTGGTCTCCAGATCCTCCGTCCGTGGGAACGGAGGATCTGGTTCACCTCCCTCGCTTTTGCTACATTTGACGCATAGTTGTATGTTGGTTCATGTTGCT